GCTTTTGGATGCATGTAACAGAAAACACCACCTACAATAACTTTAAACATAGAGATTTATTTAATCACTTCCCAAGAGGTTTCAGAAGGGGCAGCAGCTGCCGGTCTTTGCTCACTGGCTCAACAGCATCAAGGTATTCTGTTGCCCTCTTGGCTCGTCTCTTGTCTTATGGTTAAAACAGGGCCGCTGTAGCTCAAGACATCACATTCAAGTGCAAAGGAGGAAGGTGGAGAAAGGAAAGGGATTGGTGCCCACTGAGTCTATCTCTTACAAGGAAGACAAATGTCCTCCCAGAGCCTGTAGCAGACTTCTGCTTATTTCTCCTTGGTCAGACCTGGGCACCCGTAGCTTCAAAAGAGGCTGAAGAAGCAAGTGTCTCGCCTGAGGCTGGAAACATTGCCACTCTGTGCAATGTGGGAGTTTATTATCAAAGACAATGGGGGAATGAATTTCAGGGAGGCAATCACGTTAGCCACAGAGAGCTGGTGACTTCCTCGTATAATCCCAGGCACTGAGCTCCTGCCCAAGAAACTTCTGGACAGTCCCTACCACTGAAACGTCAAGTTGCTTCTTCCTAGCCCGTCCTTAGATGAACCTTGAGAACATTATGCTAAGTGAAGTAAGCCAGTCACAAAGCTACCCTACTGTCCTCTTCCCTCCAGCACACGGAATCAAACACCAGCCTCCTCGCCCTCCCTCCCTGACTCAGCCAGGAGGCTGTTCTCCTGGTTTCTGCTCAGTTTCACCCATTGTGGAGCCCCTCTGGGAAAGTTAAAGGGAGGGAGAATGAAAGAGGAGGGAGAGTGTTAATTAAACACCAGATGTTTAACTCTGTTAATTAATGGCTCTGTCACCCTGAGTGGCAGCAGCCTTCTCTTCTCTGTCTCCTTCACCCTCACTATTCTCTTTTTCTCTGGAGGGCCTTGAGTTTGAAGCTAAAGGACTCAACATTTGTTCAGTGGGGCCCTGAGACCAGCAAAGGGTGAAGGGAGAAAGCTGGCTAGGGCAACCCAGGAAGAGGGGATTCCCTTGTCCAGGAGGGAGGCATAGACATATTTGGCGGTAGGAACGGAAAGAAGGAACAGTGGGAGAGAGACCAAAGCCCAGAGGTCAAAGGAGACATGTTTTGTTTGGTGCATGTAGGGATTTCAAAAAATGCAAGCGGTTGCAAGCTTTTAAAAATGGGGAAAATGTCACATAAATCCAGATGTGCAGATCTTTAAAAATAGGCAGGTCGGGGCCTGTGTCCTCACACAACAACAGTTAACTGGTGGAAAGTGGAGCGGGGTAGCTGGTAGCTGTCCCACCCAGACGAAGCGTGTGTCCTCCCATCCTCCTCTGCCTCCACCCCACATACTTGGCTCATCTATCACATGTCACCTGCCATCCCATCTGGGGTTGGGATCCACTGAGGTACAGGTGCCAGGACTCGACAATGGGTTGCCTGTAGGAGATGATAGAGAGGAGAGCCTGAGAATGCTGAAATGTGAGTCAGGATATTTGGGGAAATTGTAGGACCAATGACAGAAATGAGGAACGTGGGAGGAGCAGGTTAAGGGAGAAAAATGGCAAATTTATTTTGGGCAGGCTGCGGTAGTGATGCCTGGATGACATGGAGACGGAGGCAGCCTGGTGGTCTGGAGTCTGGAAGAGAAGGACTGGCAATCCGCAGAGCTGGTGGGGCAGGGGTGGAAGTGAAAGCCCTGGGGAGGGAGGGAGGAAGGGCGGCTGAGACCACCCAGTATTGCCTACAGTGAGAGAAGAGGGAATTGAGGATAGAACCTTTGAGAACCACACATTTGGGAGAAAGAACCAGAAAGAAAAGTTAGGGTCAACTGAAAGGGTAGAAAGAACCTGGACTGTGTAATGAGAGAGAAGTAGAAACAGGGTTCAATATTTTTCTGGGCACTTTCCTCTATATGATCTGTTTTGATGCCCAAGTGGTATTTCCAGAAAGCCAAGGGAGTCAGATGTTCTGCTCCTCCCGATGCCCCGTGTTCTCTGTCTCCCTGCTACAGCTGGCTCCCCAGTGAGACACGAAATCAGCCACTTATATCAGCTTTTTAACCTCTTTCCTGCCTTTCAGATTCTTAGCTCTAATAACATTGGAATAAAATCAGCCACTTACATCACAGCTTTTTCTCCTCTTTT